GTTATTGTTTCTTTTATTTGTACACTTCAATAAAAATAAATATGGTGATCTTTTTCTTTAAAAGCGTAAATGTGTTACTTAAATTTTAATATTTGCAAATAAAATTTCATTAAATAAGATTATTTTGAATAAATATGTTTGCAAAAAAATTTTTTATAAAAATATCTTTTGCAATAATAACCAGTCAAAAATTAGATACATCATATGACATGTTTAAAAAAACCAGGCGATGTTTAGCAATCCCCAATTTTTATTTATATACTGTACTATATTAAAAGTATTAAAGTATTTAAAATAGTAGATTTTCAAAAAAATGTTTTTATGCCAATTATTTAATATCATTATGATAAAAAGAGAAAACACTTCAAACAAATTTCTGCTATATACTTTATATGAATATTACATGATTATATAATTTATGAAATTAAAAAATATTAAGTTAAAAAAAAAATGCTAAAAATTAAAGTTAAAAATGGAATCAAAAATTACCAAACTAAAGAAAATTATTAAATAAAGTAAGATAAATTTTTTAAAAAAATACCATAAAAATAAATTCTAGAAATCTGAAATTATTAAAATGAAACAAAAAAAANAATAAAACAAAAAAAAAAAAAAAAAAATACTAAAAAGAATTAAAATTAAATATTAAATAAAAATGAAATTAAAAAAATACCAAGACTAAAACTAATAATAAATTTAAGAAAATAATTATAAAGATAAAATCGATAAAATTAAAAAAGCATGCTAATCATATAGATATTATATTAATTAAACAAAGAAATACAGTACTATAAAATAAAATATTAAAAAAAAAAGCTGAATCATATACTAAGAATAAAATTAAAAAATATTAAATTACATTAATAAGATTAAGATAAAATTAAAAAAAACTATGATAGAATCCTAAATAGTATAGTAAGGTAATGAGCTGAGCCGGCTTGCAAGCTGAGCCATACTTAAATTGTCTTGATGCTTGACAAGCTGGCTCGCCTACAAAGTAAAATTAATCATATGACTTTCCGATATTTCGATCTACCAATCCAATCGGTTGATTGATAATGTCACGGGATATTTTTTTTATTTATTTTTATCTTATAGTTATTTTTAGTTATTTTTAGTTATTTTTACCTGTAGTTGTTTTTAGTTGTTTATAGATTAGATAAAAAGTGGAAGCTTAGCGATGTAAAGTGGCTGAATATAAGTGGCTGTATAGACAAATGTGCCCAGATCGCCACAATTGGCCGGAAGACGATATTGGCCAGGAGACAATTATGTCCAAAGAACAGATTCGTCCTAAAAATTTAACATTATATAAAGGGATGATGTTGGAGGATAAAGTTCTAAGTTCTAGTTCATGATAAGTTTAGATATCGTATAGTTTTATTATTATAAGTAGACATACGGATATTACAGAGCGCCGGTTGAGGCAATAATATCGTATTTTTTTTAACGAATAAACCTATCGATTTGCTTCTGAATTATTTATACACGCTTATCATATTTTATCACATTGTTTATTATTGTTTCATATCGTTTATTATCATTATATTTTATTATTATTTATTTCTTTTTCATTATACATTGTTGATTATTCGTATGCATCACATTATTAACTATTTTATACACACCCTATACTTGTAGCCGAAACCTTTTCACGTGATTTTCAGCCACGTCTTTAAATCAAAATTAAGTTAATAAATGATAAAAATTAATCTCTACATCCAGCCGAAACTATAATATAAAGTCTTTGGAGTTTCGGATGGATTTCTGGATAGTTTTTAATAATTTATTATAATTAAATTACTGAAAGTCTGAAACCCTGTCCAGCTTCATAGAGGTTTCGGCTACATGTATAACACATCCACTAAGGTTGCTTGCCGAAACCTAGGGGTTTAGGCAAGATGGCATTTTGCCGAAAAGTGAAATTCTGCTGAAACTATATTAAAGTTATATTAAAAAACTGGTGAAACTTTGGAGAAAGGTGAAACTGCCGAAACTTATTATAAATGCCGAAACTGCCGAAACTCTGCCGAAACTATAACAAATCTATAGTAAAATTTTGATGAAACTAATCATAGAATTTTGAAGAGGTTTAGACAAGCAACCTTAACATCCACTCTGATCTACCCTTAATTTGTCACATTGATTATTATTGTTCACTATTGTTTGCTATCGTTTATAAATAAATAATGGTATATAACGCAAGGTTAATAAACACTTTTACCTTACCACTTGTTATATATATCGTCATATTATTTTATCATTCATTAACCGATCCTTATATTTATTTCTGTTACTACCTACCAAACGTTATAAACCGGTGGTAACAATAATCAACTTTTTGTATAAAAAAAAATATATTTTTTTTTTTACCGATCATTTTTAAAATAATAATTTTATTATTATTTAAAAAGATGACAGAAATGTAAGTTAAGGAAAGGGTACTTGGTTTTTTTTTAATTTGGGAATGTTACTAACGTTCCTTCTCTTTTTTCTTTAGGACATTATTCTAGACATGAATTCCGTTGAAATGAAGCAAGAACAGCCTTGGAGTTATACATTAAGTAGTGTAATGTATGGACAGTGATGAAATTTCTATCAAAAAAAAAAAATTCTCAGCGAAATCATTTATCTTACTATTAAAGAAAAATTCTTTAATAAAATCCTCTATCAAAAACAATCCCCCTATTAAAAAAAATTCTCTAATAAAATTCTGTCAAAAAATATTTTCACTATTAAAAAAAATTCCAAAAAGAAATTCTTTATCAAGGAAAACTCCCTCCTATTAAAAAAAAATTCTTAACGAAATTCTCTATCAAAAAAAAAATCTCATTTGTTAAAAAAATTTTTGACAAAATTAGTCTTTCATTAAAAAAATTCTCCAAAGAATTTTCTACAAAAAAAAATTCTCCAATGAAATTTAAATTTTTTAACAAAATTATCCATTGAAAAAAAAACTCAGAAATGTCCCTATCAATAAAAAAATTCTCTAACAAAATTTTTATCGAAAAAAGTCTTTTTATTAAAAAAAATCCCAAAAGAATTTTATAAAAAAAAGCCTTTTCCTATATTAAAAATAAAAATTCTCTACAAAAATTGTTTTATAAAAAAAAAGCTAATAAAATAAAAAAAATTCTTCGTGTAAAAACTATGCTAAACTTAAAAAACATGTGATTGACAAAATATCACCTCTGTGTTGACAAAGAAACTAATTTTTGACAAGATAAAATTAAAGTCAAATACAATTGGATAAAAACATCAAGTACATACAGATAAAACCTCAAGCATGGACAGATAAAAACATCAAGCATGAACAGATAAAAATATCAAGCACGTACAGATAAATATCAAGCACGGGACAGATGAAAATCAAGCATAAATAGTGTAATGCCGCAACTTACCTAGTGAATTTATTAATTGTGGGGCGCAGTATTATATTTTGAATTAGTATATAAATTTTTAGTGAATTTAAAATTGTATGATGTTATAAATGTTACGTCCGAAATGACATAAAACTAGAAACATGTGATTTGTGTAATAATTTATATTTGGAATTATTGAATCAATGAGGGGGTACGTTTTATATTAGAGAATATAAAAAGGGGCAAGGAGAGAATAATACAGGCATTTTATGATTACAAATAACATTTTGGGTTTAAAACATGATTTTACGAAAAAGTTTTGTTAAGAGGAAAATTCAAAATTGTAAGAATTGAAAAAGTATAAAATGTTAAAATGTGAAATTTACAGAAGATTTGTTTCTTAAGGAAGATTTATCATCAAGTTATCTTTTTAATTAAAAAGGGGCAATATTCGACTCGATGAAAAGGAGATACGAATTTTAGGGATTTATTTTTATTACAAATGAAGTATTATCCTGTTAAGACTAGGGATTGGAACCGTTCAAAAAAACCTTAACCGGTTAAAAACTGGTTAACCAAGGGTCTTAACCGGTTAATAACCGGTTAATATTAAAAATATTTTAAAAACTTTTTTTACTGCAAATTGTACCAATTTTTGATTTTACTTGCATATTTAGTTATAGGAAGACTATATATCACTAAAATTACTATAAATAAATAGAAAAAAATTCGGCATTAAAACTTCAAGTTTAGGAACACGTGGCCGCAATTTACATATCTCTGGGCCGCATTATATAAATCTGACTAGGATTATGATAAATATAGTTTTAACCGGTTAACCAATTTTCAAAATCCTTTAACCGGTTAACCATCTTAACCGGTTCCAATCCCTAGTTAAGACTAAGATTCATTACGGGCTTAGGTCTTACAACAGGTAAATGTCAGACACGGGGTGACATTTTGTCTAGCCCATGCTTGATTTTTTACCGCACAATGTCTGATAATTTTGTCCAACTCGGCTTGCCATATAAAGGATCTGAGAAAATGGGAGGCGTCAAACAAAAATACAAAAATAAAAAATTATGTGAAAAAATTGTGATCCGTTCAACTCGGAATCCCGATGGTACAATATTCCAACATTCTAAACCCTGACATTCTAAATCCCGATACTCAAAAAATCTTAATCCCAAAATGTCATGATCCCAAAATATCATAATCCTGAAACTTTATAATCCTGACACTGATATTCTTTCTTTTATTAATAAATTTCAAGATTTTTCATTTCGGTACTTTGAATTTCGAGTTTATGAAGTGTCGGGCTTATGAAATGTCGGGATTATAACATTTTGGTATTTAGAAAAAAATTACTAATGATTGAACATAAATTTTACTTAAATCATATATTTACAGTTAACTCACGGATCACGAATTAATGATGCAAATACAGTGATACTAAAAGGTTTCTCTTTCAAAACCTTTTTATCACTGTTATTAGTCGTAAAGGTAAACTCAAAATATAAGATGTAATACGATATGGCGAATTAACAAAATAACTGAACTCAAATATGGAAATGTAATGAAGAAAAATTGTTTATTTAATATTTAATAGTTAGATTCTTTATTAATCAAATCGGTCCACTAAGATCAACATTCTCCCCAATTATGCGGAGGACAGATTGCGTGAGAATTGAATATTTACATTGTAGATAAATTGCAAAGTATAAAATAAAACATGTCAAATTATAGTATAAACTAATAAAAATTTTGGGTTTTTATTTATAATGATGAATGTTAATATATAATAATTTAAATCGCTATCAAATAATTAATAAAGCTCCTTCATATAATTATAAGAATAAATAAATATGGCATAATAATATTGTAATTTAATATTATATAACTCAAATTCCTTTGCTTCATTTTCAAAACGACGTAATTCACCATCATTAGAATTCCTTATAGCCAAATATTTGACTCTTTTTTCCTTCATAATAAATTCCTTTATACAATGTAAAATATCATCACTACCTTTTTGATTTATTAACAATTTCTTAATAAAAGTTCCTTGAGAATTTCTTAAGAAAACTTTAAAATCATTTACTTTAAAGTAAAGAACTAAATTTAAATATTCTAATTTAGGAGGAAGGATTTGTCCTAAATTTTGTAATAATATTGAATTAGATTCGATATTACCATTTTGATAATCTACACCGATCGAAAGATAATTAAGATTTTGTTTAATATTTTCAATTAAATTGAATATTAGAGAAGTAAAATGATTTTCAAATCCATATATATCAAGAAATTTGATATTTTTACAATATTTTGTAATTAATTCTAATAATCTTTGTTCATCATAATTAAGTTCACATTCAAAATTCTCTAAATAATCACCAGATTTTTGTAACAATAATGGTAATAATTCAATTCGTAATTTCTCATTTATAAATAAAGATTTTAATTTAAATGGTTTAGGTAAATTAATAATTTTTTGAATAAAACTATTTAAAGAATAACAAAAAAAGATATGAACAGATTCTAAAACATTTAATTGTTCAAATAATATATCTATATTAAATATACTCCCAAAATTGATATGATAAAACATGATAGTATTTAAAGTATTTGAACAATTAGAATTTTTTGATAACAATAATGATTGATATAAAGGTAAATAATTATGACATAATAAAATTATTTTAAGATTTTGATGTGTATCAATTATTTGTGATATACGATTTTTAAGCAACATATCTTCATTATCAAATGAACTATGAGTACTAGTACAAAATTTTAAATTTTTAATATTATGAATGAAATTTGTACCATTTTGTAAAATTAATTCAAAAATATCATTAAAATAGGAACAATAATAACGATGATCGCTAATATCAATATCAAGTGTATGTAAAGTTACTTCATTTTCAATAAATATTTTAAATAATGATATACTAATTAATTTCATAAATTCAGTTTTTGAATATTTATATGTATCATATATAAAATATCTTTCAGGTTTTAAGGTTCTAATAGCATTTCTAGACCATATTTCAACACAAATCATAAATTTCCATATATTTAAATATTTTAAAAAACTAGGATAATTGAACAGTGTGTTTGAAGGCTTTGTTTCAAAATCATCATTTAAACTAAGTAAGTAAATTTCAATAAATTTGTAATTTTTTGTAGGAATTGAAAAAGGATTTTCCCATAATAATGGAATCGCTAAACGACACCATAATCTGTTAACTAAAATGCATGAATGTAAAGTTGAAAAATCATCCAGTAAATATTTTATAATATCATATGTTAATTCAGGTAAGTCTCCTGATAATATTTTTGAACATGCCATATTATAAGCGAAGAGAAAAAAGAGGAGGGGTATTTATTTACTATGGTGTGATGATGTCGACCATATAATAATTTTCGGAACGGTGATTCCGATAGTGTTTCACAGATTCATTTTAACTAATGTGTGTAACGTGACTAATGATTAGATTTATTAGAGAATATTCAATTAGGCGCGGTGGTGCATAATGGAAAAATGTCCCGAAATCACGTGACTTCTTCATACTGACGGAGGAATTTTTTAGTATTTCCAGCGTAACCTAAAGAAAAGATGTTGAAATAGGTGTGGCACATATTTGGCAGATACGGGCGTTACGAATAGGATTTTTGTTACAAAAAAATTCACAAGCCCCACAGATACATCTGAAAAATTGAAAAATGGAAGTGTAAAAGTCACGTGATTTTCAGACTTTTTTAGGTTACGCTGGGAAATTGCTTAGTAAATTATGGTGCTACTATATTAATTTTAATTAACAGGATATTAAACAAAGAAAAAAAACTTAAATTACGAACTAACAAAAATTGGAAAAAAAATTGATCAATTCGAACCAATATTTTATCAACAATTTTCATTCTAATCAAGAAAGGCTTAGTTTCATTTCCAATAATAGTCTAAAAAAAGATAGTACTTTACTTAATAAAGTCATATTGGCAAACCTATGACGAAATGAATTTCCGAAATGATCAACAAAATTTTTTAGTATGCAGGTCACGCGGTAAAAGTCAAATATTGCAGTCACGTGCTCAGATCAGGGTTTTTACCTATTGAAGAGAATAAATATTACTCCATATAGATTAAATAATTATATAAGAGAAAAAATAAAAATAAGCATAAATCCACGCTCATGAATATACCTAACGAAATAGAAATGTCAACATTATAAAAACAAAATATAATTTTGGTGGTTAAAACATGTTACGAACAAGGTAAGGTCTCACCAATTTAAAAGTTCGTTTCCACTGTTGGTCAAAAACCATGAAATAATCAACAGTAAAACCATAGTGTCACATGGTAATGTGACATTATTGTCATATAGCACAATCTATACATTTTTTTTTTACGCTTTTCTTTTGAAATTTTATTTCCATTTTTACTGTTGATTATTTTTCCTCTTAAATTTTCTTTCCAGCGTTATGTTAAGCATACTTTCAAATTGGTGAGACCTAACCAGTATAATATTGTCATATTTAGTTGTGATGAAGAGTTAGCAATAAAAAAGAGGCTCAAATCAATAAATTATACGTTATTAACAATATTTTAGAATAATTAAGAACTGAATTTGACAATAATAGGTTTAAAAAACTATTGTATTTTTTGTAGGATTAAAAGACATATATGACAATATAATAATAAAGAGAATATTAATAATAATTACATTATTTTTTTGAAAAATTTTTTCGTGGCCAAAGAGAATAACAAATGGAAAAAATACCAAAATGAAGAGACAATGAATATAGGAAGGATATAGAAATAACAAAAGAAGATATAGGACATCTGTATGGAAAATTTAAATTTAACAGAAGCTACAGAGACCTTATTTGGACTTTTAAAGTCAATGAGATGACGGAACAAGAAATGATATAAGAGAGTTTAATAGAATTCGAAAGTGAGAGGAAGAAGAACTTGGGATTATTAAGTCTATAGGGGGTTAATATGTATACTAGATCGTACAAGAAACTCAAATATTCTCTCAGGCCAGGACTAAGGGGAATTTATAAAATCAAGAGAAACTATGGAATCAAAGATTTAATATTAATATTAGTGGATAGTAGATGCCATAATATATTAAAGAGAAAAATCGGAAAAAGAGATGTAACGATATTATAGAACTAGAAAAGAGTCTATTATTAATAAATTTGATAAAAGAAAAAAAGAGATTAAAGGAGACATATTAGATAATACAAAACAAAAAAAAAAGAAAACAGTGTAAATATATAGGAATACATAGTATATTGTATATTGTGGACGTAGAGAATACAGTAGCTAGAGGACATAATAGAATGTATGTGATGTATTTCCATATTATGCCTTAAAAAAATGTTTAACAAACTTTTAAATTGTATCAAAAAATCAAGTCACGGTAACAGAAAAGCGTATTAGATATTATGTATTAGATATTACGGACCAATTTTAGTCCGTCTACGTTAATTTTTATTAAAAAAATTTAATAATAGTGATGTAGACTAAAAGACCGGTCCTGACCGGTCCTGACCAAAAAGTCCGATCTTTTTGTGGGATCAGACCAATTCAATCCTAGTTAGATAGTAAGAGTCAAGCGTTCAAGATTATAAGGGAGATTTTGTCCTAAATTTTTTAATATGTTGAAAGCTACGTTCCCTATATTAATTGAAAGGTGATTACGTATTGTTTGATATTTTCAACTAAATTGAGTGTTTGATAGTAATCTGATTTTCAAATCCATAAAAATTTAGAAATTCAATAATTTAAATACACGATATTCAAGTAACGTATTTTCATTATTATTTGCAATATTTGCATTGTGAATGAAATTATGACGTATTTTAATAATTTTATAATTTACAGAATGTTCTTTGTGCGTACAGAGATACATGCGGAGTTATTCAGAGTACATCAATCAAAACTGCGCCTAATCATTGATTAAGTATGTTACACAATTAATTGCCATTGAATTTGTGAGACAATCGGAATCAATATTCCGAACATTAATATAATTTAACCGTTTCCAAATAAAGTGAACGCCCTACCCTTCTTTCCTTTTTACTCTCTTCGTTTACAATGTCTTGTTCAAAAATATTTTCAGGAAATTTACCTGAATTAATATATGAAATTATAAAATGTTTTAGGAATGACTTTTCAACATTACATTCATGTATTCTAGTTAATAGATTATGGTGTCGTTTAGCGATACCATTATTATGGGAAGATCCATTTTCAATCCCTACCAAAAATTATAATTTTATTGAAATTTATTTATGTACTTTAAATGATGATGATTTTAAATCAAAATTGAGTGAATATGATATTAAAAATTATTTATTTCCTTATAATAGTACATTATTTAATTATCCTATTTTTATCAAATATTTAAACACATGGAAAATTATTTCTTCTATTGAAAAATGGGTTTCAACTGTGATTCTTAGAAAATTAATGACTGAAAAATGGCCAACAAATCATTTTACAGATTCACGTTCAGAATTTAATTTTATTAGATTAACCAATAAATCATTATTTAAAATATTTATTGAAAATGAAGTAAATTTAAATACTTTAGAAATTGAAACCATTTCATATATTTATCATGATTATTTTCAAGATGTTCTTAATTTAATTTTACAAAATTCAAATTTTATTCATAATATTAAGAATTTAAAACTTCATGTTGGTGATACCCCATTTTATTATCCTTTTCGTGATAAAAATGAAAATAATATGATTAAAAAATCTTTATGTCAAATTATTAATTCACAAAAAAATCTTAAAAAAATTTTATTTAGTTCTAATAGTCTTCCTTTATATCAATCTATATTATCATTAGATAATTATAATTGTTCAAATACTTTAAATACGATCGTTTTTTATTGTATTAATTTCAAAAATATGACCACTTTAAATAAAGCATTTGAACAATTAAATGTTTTAGAATCCGTTCATATCTTTTATTGTTATACTTTAAATATCGATTTTATTCAACAAATTATTAATTTATCTAGACCATTTAAATTAAAATCCTTATTTATAGATGAAATATTACAAATTGAACCATTAAAATTATTATTAGAGAAATCTGGTCGTTATTTAGAAAATTGTGGGTTCGGATTTGGTTATGATACATTAAAACGACAAATGCTTGAATTAATTATAAAATATTGTAGTAATGTCAAATTTTTTGATTTCTATGGTTTTGAAAATCAAATAATTTATTTGGCGTTCAATTTAATTGTTAGTATTAAACAAAATCTTAATTATCTTTCTATCAATGTTTGTGAAACTTTTCAATTGGTTGATGATATTGAACGTAGTTCATTAATATTGAGGAATTTAGGACAAATACTTCCTTCTAAACTGGAATATTTAAGTTTGATACTTCATATTAATGCAAGTGATTTTGAAATATTTTTGAAAAATTCCCAAAATATTTTTATTAAAAAGTTGTTGATTAATAATAAAATGAGAAAGGATAGCGAAAATATTTTATCTTATATAAAGGAATATATTATGAAAGAGAAAAGAGTCAAATATTTAGCTATTATGGATTCTTTTTTTAATAATTCCGCAGAAGTTCTTACAAAAAGTAAAGATTTATATTATTTAAAAGATGAAGTGAAGGAATTTAAGTCACATGATATAAAAGTTCAAGCTTATTATGATTTGTTTATTAAAGTTTATGAATTTATTAAAGAAATGTGATTGATTATTATTATTAGAACACACAACATATATATTTTATAAATAAAGTTTATTATCTTTTAAATTTACTATATAATGAAAATTTTATGTCTGAACGTTATAAAAAATATATTTGCGTATAAATAAAAAAGCGAATTGTTTATATAATATAAATTCTTTTACAACGAAATTTATGTTCGCGTACTCCATCGTCTTTCTTTTTTACTATAACTTTTGGCGGACAAATCTTAGCAATCTTTAAGGGTAATCTATTACAACATACTATTTTATGAGCGCTCTTAGATGTTTTCGCTTTTTTTTTTGAATAAATTCCTAATTTATATTATTAATTTTCATTATTTCAAATTTTTTCGTCGGTAAAATTATCAGTTGAACACGTGATAAATCATTGAATAATGATTGGTTACGCTTTACGCTTCACAGCCTTCACATGTTGATCATGATTACAAATTAAAAAATCAGCTGTGCGACATTATCGGGAGTAACGTTCCGAAAATCAATTTATCCGGTGAACGGCCTTTTTTTTTTTTTTTATTTTATTTTCTTTCACTTACAATGTCTTGTTCAAAAATATTTTCAGGAGATTTACCAGAATTAATATCTGAAATCATAAAATATTTTCATAATGATTTTTCAACTTTATATTCATGTATTTTAGTTAACAGATTATGGTGTCGTTTAGCGATACCATTATTATGGGAAGATCCATTTTCAATTCCTACCAAAAATTTTAATTTTATTATAATCTATTTACATAATTTAAATGATAATGATTTAAAAACAAAATTAAATGAATATGAGATTAAAAATTATTTATTTAATTCAAATACATTATTTAATTATCCAAATTTTATTAAAAGTTTAAATACATGGAAAATTATTTCATCTATTGAAAAATGGGTTTCTTCTACAATTTTTAGAACTTTAACTACTGAAAAAAGACTTTTAAATTTTTTTTTACAAGATTCAATTTCACGTTCAGAATTTGAATTTAAAAGATTAATTAATAGATCATTATTTAAATTATTTATTGAAAATGAAGTAAAATTAAATACTTTTGATATTGAAATTATTTCATATATTTATCATGATTATTTTAATGATATTCTTGAATTAATTTTACAAAATCCAAATTTTATTAATAATATTAAATATTTAAAATTATATGTTGGTGATACCCCATTTTATTATCCATTTCGTGATAATAATGAAAATACTTTAACTATAAAATCTTTATCACAAATTATTAATTCACAAAAAAATCTTAAGAAAATCTTATTTAGTTATAATAGTCTTCCTTTATATCAAACAATATTAAATTCAAATTGTTCTAATACATTAAATACAATCATATTTTATTATGTTAATTTTAAAAGTATGATTAATTTAAATAAAGTATTTGAACAATTAAATGTTTTAGAATCTGTTCATATTATTTATTGTTATTCTTTAAATACTCATTTTATTCAACAAATTATTAATTTAACAAAACCACTTAAATTAAAATCTTTATTTATAAATGAAATGTCACATGTTGATCCATTACAATCATTATTACAAAAATCTGGTGATTATTTAGAAAATTTTGGTTTTGGTTTTGGTTATGATTTATTATTTAAACGTCAATTATTTATATTAATTATGGAATATTGTAAAAATATTTCATTTTTTGATTTATATGGATTTGAAGATCAAATTATTTATCTTTCTTTTGATTTAATTGAAGATATAAAACAAAATCTTAATTATCTTTCTATTAACGTATGTGAAAATTTATTATTAAGTGATGGTATTAAACGTAGTTCAATAATATTAAAAAATTTAGGTCAAACTTTACCTTTTAAATTAGAATATTTAAATTTGACTCTTAATATTAACGTAAGTGATTTTGAAATTTTCTTAAAAAATTCTCAAAATACTTTTATTAAAAAATTATTAATTAATAATAAAATGAGAGAAGATAGTGAAGATATTTTACCTTTTATAAAGGAATATATTATGAAAAAGAGGAGGGTTAAATATTTGGCTATTATGGATACTTTTTTTGAAAATTCTTCAGAAGTTATCTTTAAAAGTAAAGATTTATTTTCATTGAAAGATGAAGTGAAAGAATTTAAATTATATAATATTAAAATTCAATATTATTATGATTTATTTATTAAAGTTTATGAATTTATTAAAGAAATGGATTAATCAATCATGTAATAATTTTTTTTTTTATATTTTATAATAAATTTTATATTTTTTTTTACTATTACTTATTAAATTATATAATGACAATTTTAAAACTCATTATTAAATGAATGGCAAGCTTTATAATCAAGTAATCTTAAGCGAATCACTGTTTATAAATATATATGAACGTGAATTCACAATGACTCCGCTAAAAATTGACATGACTTGATTCAGAAAGATCAACGGACCGTCAGAAATGGATCACAGCATCACGCATGTGAGGGTTATAGAAAAATTTTTAACAGGGGTTTGTCAACAATTGTACGTTTACTAAACGGGGTTTAATAAAGAAAGTCTAAAAAATATTAATGGACTTGTCGCTAGTGGTAATATGAACCCGAAATCTTTTCAAAACTATTAATTAAAAATAAATCCAATAATAAATAATTGTTCAATAGTTTTTGAGAAAACCCGTAAATAAGCAAAAAAAAATAAAAGAAAAATTTTAGTACGAATAACGATTAATAAATAATGATTTTTTAATTCTGGTCAACTATAATTTTTAGCTGGAATTAAAGTGGTCTTACAAATGAGATCATTGATATGTAAATCGTAACTTTATTTAATTTATTTAATTTGTACGGGCTGATTATTAAAAACATTACACACAATCAATGTGCGACGATAATGGGAAAATCCATTTTCAATCACTGAACATTCAATTCGTGCTAAAAATCATAACTTTATTGGAATTTACCTACATAATTTAAACGATGAATTAAAAACAGAATTATATAAATATAATATTAATTATAATTTATTACCTTCAAACACACTTTTCAATTATCCTAGTTTTATAAAATATTTGAATTTGTTGAAGATTCCTAAATCTGTTATAAAGTGGTTCAATCCTTTTACACAAAGGTCAGGTTTTAATCCAGAAAAAAATATTATAAAACTAATTATTATATCACTATCAAAAATGTTTATTGAAAATGAAGTAAATTTACATACCCTTAAAATTGAGATAAATACTAGTCACATCTCATATATTGATGATATTCTCGAGTTATTTTTACAAAATACAAATTTCATTAGCAATATTAAAAATTTAAAACTTTCTATTATACATTCCTATGGTAAAACGCTAGTTAACAATCGTATATCACAAATAATTAATTCACATTAAAATCTTAAAAAAATTGTATTATGTAAAAGTATTGATGATTTTCTTTTTTATCAACCATTATTATTATCAAAAGATTACAATTGTTCAAATACTTTGAATACTATCACATTATACCACATTAATTTTGAAGGTATAATCAATTTAAATAAAATGTTTGAACAATTGAATGTTTTAGAATCTGTTCATATCATTTATTGTCCTTCTTTAAATACTAGTATTATTCAACAAATTATTAATTTAACTAAACCATTTAAATTAAAATCCTTATTCATGGATGAGCGTTCAAAAATTGATGAATCATTATCACTATTATTGCAAAAATCTGGTGATTATTTAGAGAATCTCAGTGTCGATCGTTTAGGGCAACAAATATTTGAATCAGTTATAAAGTATTGTAAAAATATCAAATTTTTTAAAATTTATGGAATTAAAGATGTTTATCCTGTACTCAATTTAATTGAAAATATAAAACAAAATCTTAATTGTCTTATTATCAGCCTTGAATGTTTAAATGGTAGTTCAATAATCTTGCAAAATTTAGGACAAATCCTTCCTTCTAAATTAGAATATTTAGATTTGACTCTCTTCATTAAAGCAAGTGACTTTGAAGTATTCCTAAAAGATTCCAAGGGTACTTTTATTAAGAAATTGTTAATTAGAGATCTTATGCGAGAAGATAAGGATAATATTTTAACTTATATAAAGGAATATATTATGAAGGAGAAAAGAGTCAGGTATTTAAGTTTTAGTATTTACTACAATTATGAAGAATTGTTTCATTTTAGTAAAGAAGTGAAAGAATTTAAGTTACATAATATCGAAGTTCAAAGTTATAGTGATTTGTATATAGACATTTATCGATTTGCACAGAAACTTGATTAATTATTTAATTATCACTTCAAATATTACATACGAGCTTTTATCTTTATAAATAAAGTTTCTTTATATTAAAAATATGATTTTCATGATTTTCATGTATTACAATATTATTGAACCAAAATAAACAAATTTGCAAATTAAATTTACAACTACTCATATGAATAATATGATTCTTCATAAAAAAAACTGAGGAATAATAATAAAGAGATGTCCTATAAAAATTTTTTAGAAAATTATTCCATGTGGAGACTGACTCGGATTTTTTTGGGAATAAAAACTAGAAATATGATCATTTATCTGAGTTTTTACCATAAAATTTTATAAGGATAGACAAAATGAAGTCCAAGTATCATAGTAATAGTGATTTTAATAAATAAAGCATAATCTTAATAACTGTAGTTTTAAATGTATAGTTCTATAGATTCTTGTATCATTAAGACGTTGATATGGATCATTTAAGTAAATGAAAGATTGGCAACAAGAGGTCCAAAAGTATAATTTTTTACTAGGAGTCTATAGAATAGTCAATCTTCGGCAGCGAATGGCTGAATGGGTTTAAATTGTAGAAAAATTTTTAACTTGGAGTCTACAGCTTTTAACAATTGCACTTAACAGTTAATGTACTAAATTACTAATTTATCTAGTATCATTAAGACGTTAGAATGGATAGCGCAAGTAAATGAAAGTTTGGCAATAAGAAGGTCCAAAAGTGTAGAAAAAATTTTAGCTAGGAGTCTATGGAAACCAACAATTGCACTAATTGCACTTATTGCTCATTTTCAAATTGATGTAAGATGGTGATTAGAGTTTGGAATTGGTTGGAAAAATTTGGGTGATCAGTATGTTAGTAAACTAGTAGGCATAACCGATTAATTAGTTATATTTTAATCTGGTTCAGACTTCAGACCCAATTATTAGTTATATTTTAATCTGGTTCCGGACCCAATTATTAGTTATATTATGTCAGCTCTACTTGATTGTCAATTAAATCAACCCGGTTATAACTGAATAAAAATTCGGGTCCAAACAATGAACTGGGTTTAAACCACTGTTTAAACCGGCTTTTACGACTGATTCCGAACTCTAGTGGTAACAAAAAAACAAAAAGTTTTAAAATCACAGTAAAAAAAACATGTGTATGTATGTAATATAACGCAGGATCATAAAACACTTTTTTTGTGCTAAAATTAGAAGTTGGAATCGACCGAAATTAATTAATTGGTTAATACAACATACTGAGTAAGAAAAAGCATTAATTAAAAGAAAAAGTCTAATTTAAACAAGCTGTATTGATCTTTCACATTATAGTAAACCGTGATATCATTTTCAAAATAAACTTTTATTCATGTTGTGAGGAAGGAGTTTGGAAATCATCATTGATCATTTAGGAGTATGATCATTCGTAATATCGTTTTCATCTGAAATCAAAGGTAGATAAAAAGTCAGGTTGGCTAAGTAAATCATCTAATTGCTCATCGGAATAAATTTAGTAATATCATCTACAATTTAATACCGGAGAAGGAAAAGTTTCATGGGTAGTATGGGACGAAGAATTCATTCATTCATTTCTAATAGATTAGTGAAACCTGGGTGATGATAAATTTTTTTATTGGCAAGTCATCGTTGGTGAACATCTAATCGTTGTTAGCCTTTCCCGTAATTTTTATTATTATATCTAAACCTAACATTTTTAAGTTTCTGTTTGAAACTGGATATAATAAAATTTTTTCTGGTAAGTGTTGGATTACTTTAACAACCTTGCCGATAATAGGAATCTTATTCTTATCTGAGGGTTTCAAGCATATTAGAATCAGGGATGGGTAAACGGAAGCGTGTGATCCAGTTCCATCTTTTTATTTGCTGTTTCATATGAATAACGTTGAATTGAGGTGATTAGTATAGTTTATAAAAAATGGCGACTCGATACATAGAATGAGGTGTTCGAACATACTCTATGTTGTCGAGGGTTATGGTGACGTCTTATGACGACCACTCATATATTTAATCACGTAAGGCCGGTAAGGGTATCTTGCTTGAGGATCTAAACGTTTTACAGGCATAGAACTTTGTTGTTGTCATAACAAAGAAATCACGGTGAGTGTAGCCAGATCTAGTTATAAAAAGTAATATCTTGCGAATTTTGAGTAAAGTGTACCACTACCTCTTAAGCGTGGCACAGCTGTCGAAAGAGAAAGGATATTTTTGGATTTTATTGCTTTGTAAAGTCAAAAAAACGGCTTTTTGGGTGTGTACAGGTGTCATCTGTAGACATAAAAAGATTTTGCAAGCATTAGGACGAAAAAGAATTAATTATTCCTAAAATTTTCAAAACCGAAAATATATCTAAAGAGAATAAAAAAAGGGCATAAAAAGCTATAATTTATAGGGTAGAAAACTATTCTCAAGGTTATTTTGGTAAAAGAGGTTAATTATTAAAACAAAGTTTTAACGAGAACGTTAAAAAATAATCCGTACCAAAAATTACGAGAGATACGATTTAAGTTTATTTAGCGTATTATCATGCTAAAAAAAATAAAAATATGAAAATTTTGTAAAATACAATGTTAATTAATTTAATAAATAAAACTTTATAAGTTTACTATAAGAGATTGTTTCAATTATGTAATTCTTATTAGCAACGTGAGCATATAATATATTTTAAATTTCTTTTAAAGAAAATTTTTTTTTTGTTTACTGCGCTATTGACTACTAGTTATGAACCCAAAAATGATGACCTTTTAGAAATTGTAGTAAAAGAAGGATTCTTTAACATTTTCAACACTACTATAGTTGATATATTCAGAAAAATCACAAGTCGAAGAGATATGGTTTACATGAAGTTTATACTATTAAAATTTGGTGATCCTGTCCAATTTCCATAGTGTACTCTAGATTTCAATGAAGTTTCCAGTTATTGTGGAAATGCAATGCAAATTGGAAGGATTTCATAGTGGAAACTATACCACTTCGACCGGTGGTTATAATAACTGCTTTACAAAGATAAACAATGACTTATTTTTAAAAAAAATTTCATAAAATGAGATTTTTTTATTTTTTTTATTTTTTTACGAAGTCAGTCTAACTAAAAAAAACTTATCGAAGTAATAAATATCTAATTTTTTTAGATGTTCTACGTTCTAATTGGTTAAATTAATCGATAAAATTAATCTATTAACCGATTTTTGAGGTATCTTAGTCGATTAATCGTCTTAATCGATTAATTGATTAACCTTATCGATTTCTACCTCCAGCTAAAATCTTATAAGAGGTAATGTTGAAACCCAAATGATTAAAATTATATGATATTTTATAAACTTTTTGAGAACGTAATATAAGATTTTCAGCATTAAAAAAAAGCGCATTTTATGTTCTTTTATTACAGTACTGATACGACATATTTTTTCTTATGCGTTCTTCAAAATTTTTCCATCTTACGTGATCGTCATCAATTTCAACCATTTTGAAAATGACAATAATGAACTAAATAATTACGTTTAATAAAGATCAAAATTGATCTACTTATTGAACTTATTGCCAATAGTGGTAACATTAACACAAAATTATTTGGATTTCAAAACTAAAATAGGTCATGAGTAGAATAATCTTCTCTTAGATCAAAAATGCTATCTTTTAGATTGTTTTTGAGAATGTAAAATTTTGATTTAATAAGTAAAATAAAAAAACAAATTTTATTTTGATTAATATAGATTTATATTAAGACGAATAAGACGTGCTTATCTATAATTCTAACCGGAATTAAGTGGGTTATCACCAGTATTAGTATGTAAATCATTACGCCTAATTATTTGCTAAACACGTTACACACAATAAATTGTGTGACAGTGTCGGAAAATCACCACTCCAAAATTAGTATAATTTATCCGGTTGATACTGTAGTGAAATGTGATACACAAATCTCTTTCTTTTTACTTCTTCGCTTGCTTACAATGTCATGTTCAAAAATATTTTCAGGAAACTTACCTGAATTAACAGAAAGTATTATAAAATATTTTCGGAATGATTTTTCAACTTTAAATTCATGTGCTTTAGTTAACAAATTTTGGTGTCGTTTAGCGATTCCATTACTATGGGAAAATCCATTTTCAATTATTGAAAATTCAATTTCTACTAGAAATTATAACTTTATTGGAATTTACCTACATAATTTAAATGGTGAATTAAAAACAAAATTTAATGAATATAAAATTAATGATAATTTATTATCTTCAAACACACTTTTCAATTATCCTAGTTTTATTAAATATTTGAATACGTGGGAGTTTATTTCTTCTGCCAAAAGGTGGTCTGAAGATGTTTTTAGAACTTTAGAATCCAAATATAAGTCTTCTTTGGAAGATTTAGGTTCAGAATCCGATTTTGGAATATTAATTCAAACATCACTATTAAAAATATTTATTGAAAATGAAATAAATATACATACTCTTGAAATCGAGACAAAATCTTATTTTGATATATATTTTGAAGATTTTCTTGAATTAATTTTACAAAATACAAATTTCATTCACAATATTAAAAATTTAAAACTTTCTGTTTTAAGTATTAATTGTAATACGCCAATTAACAATCGTATATTGCAAATAGTTAATTCACATCAAAATCTTAAAAAAGTTATATTATGTAATAGTAAGGATTTTCTTTTTTATCAACCATTATCATTATCAAAAGATTATAATTGTTCAAATACTTTAAATTCTATCGCATTATACCGCATTAATTTTAAAGATATAATCAATTTAAATGAAATGTTTGAACAATTAAACGTTTTAGAATCAATTCATATCATTCATTGTATTTCTTTAAATACTAGTTTTATTCAACAAATTCTTAATTTAACCAAGCCATTTAAATTAAAATCCTTATTCATAGATGCATCATCAAAAATAGATGAATCATTATTATTCTTATTACAAAAGTCTGGTGGTTATTTAGAGAATTTCAGGTACGTGTATTTCAGGAGCGAACTTGAACATCAGAAAATACTTGAATCAGTTATAGAATATTGTAAAAATATCAAATTACTTGGTATTTTTAATGTTAAAGATGAGATTGTTTATCCAGTACTCAATTTGATTGAAAATATAAAACAAAATCTTAATTGTCTTTCCATCAGCTGCGAAAGATCTAGTTTAGATAATAGTAGTTCAATTTTATTACAAAATTTAGGACAAATCCTTCCTTCTAAATTAGAATATTTAAATTTATTTTTTTACATTAATGCAAGTGATTTTGTAATATTCCTAAAAAATTCCCAAGGTACTTTTATTAAGAAATTGTTAATTAAAGATTTAACATCATGGAAATTAATTAATGATATTTTACCTTATATAAAGGAATATATTATGAAGGAAAAAAGAGTCAGGTGTTTGAATCTTAGGAATTTTAAAGATACAGAATTGTTTGATTTTAGTGATGAAGTAAAGGAATTTAAGTTACATAATATTAGAGTTCAAAGATATAGTGATTCAGTTATTGACAATTATAAATTTATGCAGAAACTTGATTAAATATTTGGTCATAATTTAAAATATTAATACGAATATTCATCTTTATAAATAAAGCTTCTTTATATGTTTATTCATTCTAGTTAAGAGCATGGTGTTCATGTATTCATTTACTATTGATTATTATTAAAAATTTATTAATACAAATCATTGATACCTTTAATTGGATGATAAAGTAATTTTACGTTACAAAATGAAAACCAATTCGCCGCTCACAAATAATTTGATCATTTACAAAAAACTATCATTTAGATGTATGTTTGTTTGCTGTTTTAGCGGGGGAATGGCGATGGTGTTAGGAAAATGAGAATGCGGGAGATAAAACGAAATGGAGTCCAAGTATCATAGTAATAGTAATTTTATCATAAAGCATAAACTAGGTATAAATGTAGTTCTGGATTTATAGATTTATAGATTCTAGTAGTAACATTAAATAATGGATTACATAATTAAATGAATGGTTGGCAACAAGGGTCCAAAAGTATAAGAAAATTTTTTACTAGGTACTTATCCATTTCAAAAAGGGTGAAGTTAATTTGGATCACATAAGGTGGTGACAGAAAAAAACACAAAAACAAAGTTTCAAAAAGTACATAAGACAAAGGATGTATAATGTATAGTATGTAATGTGACACAGGTTATAGATACACTATTTTTTTGCGCCAAAAATTTATAAAAGTTTAAGAAATCAAATGACTACTAGCAATCATATATTTTACTAACCTTTTTGAGAATGTAACAAGATTTTTAGCATTAAAGACAATATAATACAAATAAATAAAAAACATTTTTTTTTTATTTGTTCTTTGAAATTTTTTTTTTTTTTTTTTTTTTTTTTTGTCACCATGTAACGACTGTAACGTGATCAACATCAATTTCGACCATTTGAAAGCGGCAATAATACATTAAATTATTAATTGCGTTTAATAAAGAGGGTTAAAAAAAGTTGATTGATTTATTGAGAATTATATTTGTCAACAACGGTGGTAATAATACACAAAATTATTTTTGATCTTCAAAACTAAAATAGGTCATTAATGGAATAAGTTCTTCTTAGGTCAAAAAATGATGTTGTTTAGAAGAATGTGTAAAATTTGATTTAATAAAAGACAACAATTTAAATATAAATTATAATAAGACATGCTTATCTATATGGTTCAATCGGTTCTTCACCAGTATTGGCACAGTATGTAAATCATAAACTAATCACTAAACACGGGGGAATCTTACCACACATAAATAGCACTCCCGCCATTTAACGTGGTAGTACAGGTGACATATATAATGCGGTGACAAGTAGAGATCAGGCTAACTGTCCGTCTGTCCCCCTCAGAAATATAATAAAAAACGCAATTTTTCTAAAGTGGGAAAAAATAATAAAAACGTAAGCAGGTCATCACGTGACGGCATGACAAAACATTAATGGTAAGATTTTCCCTAAACACGTTACACACAATTGACGGAATTGTAAAACAATATCGGAAATCACTTCCGAAAATTAATATAATTTATCCGGTCGATACTGTGATACACAATTCTCTTTCTTTTTACTCTTCGCTTATAATGACATGTTCAAAAATATTTTCAGGAAACTTACCTGAATTAACAGAAAATATTATAAAGTATTTTCGAAATGATTTTTCAACTTTATATTCATGTACTTTAGTCAACAGATTTTGGTGTCGTTTAACGATTCCATTATTATGGGAAAATCCATTTTTAATTACTGAAAATTCATTTTCTACTAGAAATTATGGCTTTATTGGAATTTACCTATTAAGTTTAAATGGTGAATTAAAAACAAAATTTAATAAATTTGAAATTAATGATAATTTATTATCTTCAAACACACTTTTCAATTATCCCAGTTTTATAAAATATTTGAATATGTGGAAGTTCATTCATTCTATTAAAAGATGGTCTGAAGATGTTTTTAGAAAATCCAAATATAAGTATCCTTTGGAAGATTTAGGTTCAGAATCTGATTTTGGAAGATTAATTCAAACATCACTATTAAAAATATTTATTGAAAATGAAATAAATATACATACTCTTGAAATTGAGATAAAAACTCATAGTATGATCTTACATGATTATGCAGATATTATTAAGTTAATTTTACAAAATATAAATTTTATTCGCAATATTAAAAATTTAAAACTTTCTATTTTAAGTTTTTATGATAATACGCAAATTAACAAATATATATTGCAAATAATTAATTCACATCAAAATCTTAAAAAAATTGTATTAAGTAATAGTAATGATTTTCTTTTTTATCAACCATTATTGTTATCAAAAGATTACAATCATTGTTCAAATACTTTAAATTCTATCACATTATACCGCGTTAATTTTAAAGGTATAATCAATTTAAATGAAATGTTTGAACAATTAAATGTTTTAGAATCTGTTCATATCATTTATTGTCATTATATAAATACTAGTTTTATTCAACAAATTCTTAATTTAACTAAGCCATTTAAATTAAAATCCTTATTCATAGATGCATCATCAAAAGTCGATGAATCATTGTTATTATTACTACGAAAATTTGGTGGTTATTTAGAGAATTTCAGGAGCGTGAATTTCTTGAGCAAAGTTGAACAACAGAAAATACTTGAATCAGTTATAGAATATTGTAAAAATATCAAATTACTTGGTATTTATAATATGAATGATGAGATTGTTTATCCAGTACTCAATTTGATTGAAAATATGAAACAGAATCTTAATTGTCTTTCTATTTGTTGTGAAAGGTCTAAATTAGATAATAGTAGTTCAATTTTATTACAAAATTTAGGACAAATTCTTCCTTCAAAATTAGAATATTTGAATTTGTTTCTTTACATTAATGCAAATGATTTTGAAGTATTCCTAAAAAATTCCCAGGGTACTTTTATTAAGATATTGTTAATTAGAGATCTTATGCAAAAATATAATAATAATATTTTACCTTATATAAAGGAATATATTATGAAGGAGAAAAGAGTTAGGTATTTGAATTTTAAGAATAATGGTAAGGAATTGTTTGACTTTAGTGACGAAGTAAATGAATTTAAGTTGCATAATATTGAAGTTCAAAAATATAATGATTTAGTTATTGACAATCGTCAGCTTATACAGATATTTGATTAATCATTTATTTATGATTTAAAATACTAATACTAATACGAACATTCATCTTTATAAATAAAGCTTCTTTATATATTTACTTATCTAGTTAAAATATGATGCACATGTATTTATTATTGATTATATTAAAAATTTTATTGATTCAAATATGAATCTTTGATGCACATGATAATTTTACGTCATAGAGCTCATCACTCAAAAAAAATAGTCTATTGAAAGTATACTGAGTTCCTACTGTTTGTTTACTGTTTAAACAGAGGATAACAATAGTAGAAAGAGGATGCAGGCGGGAAAGAAAAAAGTCCAAGTATCGTTATAGTAGTAATTCTATCGTAAAGCATAACTTTAATAAGATTTATAGATACTAGTATCATTAAGACGTTGAAATGATGGGGATGCCAAAATATTACGGCGGTGCACCACAAAATGTCAAAATGAATTACACTGCCGTAATGCCGAATTGCCGAATTGATAAAATATATTATACCGATGAATTGCTAACTTTAATAAAATTTTTCTTTTAATTCAAATTATAAATCTTTATTGTAAATCAATTATAAGTTTATAACATGTATAAAAGCAGTACAAAAAAAAATTATTATATATAAAACTACTACTCATAGAAAAAACTATAAAAAGCAAAAAAAAAAAAAAAAATACTACTGTAATTACTGCGTTTCATTTTCTTTAGTGTTATTAAGCGAGAATATCACCTACATTAAATCCATTTCACCATGATCAATTTTTTCAGGTTCCATGATTTAATTAAATCTGAATCATCTTCTGTTTATTTTCTTCTTCATCATCTGAAACCAAATTTTCAAAAGGATCATTATCATTTTCTATTTCATTAATAAACACATCTGAATCTGAAGTAAGTGAATTAGTATAATTTTGCATTATTTCATTAAAAGCGTCATCAGATAATTAAGCTCTTGTTGTGCATTCAAAATATAAAATGAATGCAATCTTGCCATATTGGATACTTTTTCTACCTTATGTCTAATAAAAATAAAAACGAATTTAATAAAAAAATTTTAAATTTTAATAAAATAAAAGTATTCTATAAATATACTTAGTCTTTTTTGGATAAACCAATTTAATACTGAGAAAATACGCTCACAGCTTGCACTATGAGGAACAATAGAAAGAATATATAAAGCCAATTTTTGCAAATAATGATTTGATTGTTTACATCTTAACCATATGAAGTTCGTCAATATAAGAAAAACTAAAAGGAGACTTAAAAATCATCATAATTATTCATTTGAACAGCAAGTGTAAATGCTGATTTTGATCCTCCGCCCATACATAAGTACTAGGTGAGTGGTCAAATTTTCTAGCTTCTTCTTTGATAAAATAATTCCAAACATCATTTTTCTTCCTGCCAGGCTTCTTGAATTGTTCTGTTTCTGGAAGATCTGGTAATTCTACAACATTTAAATCTTAAAAAGATCCTGTTTCATCAAGAGAACCTGTTTCACAAGCCATAATTTCTCTTTTAGTTATCTTTTGTAATAGAAAATTTGAAAAAAAAATAACGCGCGAAAACCTTTTTCGATTAACCTAATTACATTTTTAGCCAATCATTAACTGGAGCGTCAATCATACAACTTTTAGGATAATGATATTAGAATTAAAAAAAAAATCGCCTAGAAATGCTCAGTATTAAAATAAAAAGAAAGTAATAACGAAAAATTTTAGGTTTAATAAAGTTTATGATTTTAAAGTTTACGTTTTTTTGAAAATGAATAAATAATAAAATTTAAAGATTACATGAAATTCATTCTTATGATACGAAAAATATTTTATTTCTTAACCACTGGCAAAATAATTAAGTTTCGCAAATAATCATAATTTCAGTTTTATTATTCTTACTAATTCAGTCTTAAATTTTCGGGTTGATAATTTATTTGAATTTTATTAAATAGAAACCAAAACTGAACCGTTCTCTAAAAAATATATTGTATATAATTATAAATGATATTCCCAAAAATAAAAAAAAACAAGGAACCCTCTTTGAAACATACCATAAAAAATATAGCTCAACTGCTTAAGGTGCACTCCAAGGAAAGGTAGTTCATTCTACAAGAAATGAAGTACTAACAATGTTTCTGAAGAAAATCGAAGAAACGTCCTCTTAGATCACCATCACCCTGTACTATTATCTAACCATCAGCCCAAGAAAGCAATATCTGAAAATAATAAAAAGAAAACACGTTAGAAATGTCCCTAAATAAAATAATAAAAATTAAAAAGCTTCGAGTAATCATGATAAAGAAGTAACGTACAGCACTTGTAAGTAAATTACGTGCTATATGCCATTATGTCAGCAATTTAATACTTTCTGGTTAAATTGCAATAATAATAGAAGGACAAATTCCATTGAAATGACAAAACTGGTTCTCTAGTAAAAGGAGTTTCGTCTATAAATTATAAAAAAATTAAAAATCCTATCAGGAAAGAAGTTTTTGGTGAAGTCGCGCAATTTTCCTGAAAAAAAACAAACGTCCAACTCCCCTTTAAATTATACAACAATCAAACCTACCTTTATATGGAGATTATATATCAGTTGTATCACTAATGGCATCAATGATCTTAATAATTTTTTCTAAATATAGTACTTCGAACAGGAAAAAGAAACACCTTTGACCCCTAAATTTTATCAAAAAAAAAAATTTTGTCTACCTTTATATGGGGGTTCAGTATCATCTGTGTCACTAAAATAAGGTGCAATTCGGCATTACGTCAATTCACCAAATCGGCACAAATCGGCATTACGGCAATTCGGCAATCGGCACGTGCTTTTAAATCAGGTCTGGTGATGACTGGTGTAATATATTTCGACATTATATGGTGTATTGTCGAATTACCACACCCCATTCGCCTGATCGGCAAAGGATATAACCTTATCCATCGTGTCTCAAATGCATAGGTTATATCCTCCATGGAAACCACGGTTTTTATTGGCCAATACTAAGCAGTGATCATGTGACCTTATAAGTGTAGACATTTTATCCTCGTAACTTAAGGACATAATTGTCTTAATAAATTTTGAGGACATGTTTGTCCTTGTAA